AGTTTCCAGCCATCGAAAAAAAATTACTAAACCTGAGATTCGTTAGAGTGCTCCAGATACCCGTGTACACACACATGTGTCTTTGCAGCAGTCTCAGAGAAGGAAAGATGGTATTATTTAAGGCAACGTTATTCTTACGGTGCTTAATTTGCACAGCTCCAAGCAGTACCACTTTCCAACCAACAATTATAATTGGATATTTGTGTTATACAGCCAAGTTTTTTCACATTAGACAATTTTATCCCTTCTCCACAGTGAAAACAGACATCCTCTGAAAAAAAGGCTTTTCAAGCCTGAGTCTCAGGTTTCACCAGAGTGAGCATTTAATATCAAACTTCACATCTTGTAAGAGGGAATCAAAAATCCCCCAGACCAGGCTGAGTGGCTGTTCTGGAAGCTGTAAAAAATAGTAATTTTCAGCAAAAAGCCACATTGAAATGTAATTATCCCTCCAAAACATAAAAAGAAAAGCAGAAATAGCAGAATTAAATTGATATCTAAGTGTGGCTTTATGCAGAGACAGCTCTGTGACCAATTGGGGCAGGGACAGTCTGCCACACTGGGCATATTCCTCCAGAGGGATGAAGAAATTATTTGGTTTTTATTGGGTCTACGTGTAACATTTGCATCTTGTTACCACTGATATTTTAGCCTTAGAAGTTTTCAGACATTCCTCCAGGGCTTATCTTAAGCACATTTTTATTAAGTTCCCTTCTCTAAAAAAACAAGCTCCAGTGAGTTTTGACGCTCTCTGCCTTTGACAATGATAATCTTTGTCCTTTCCAGCTGCAGCAAATTTAAGATAATCTCTTCTTCAAGTGGACTTTATTAATCTTCCAAATGAAATACCATCCTGAGGTAAAACAATTATTTCCAGTTCAGCTCTTAGTAACGGTTAAGCCCATACTGGAAAAGACAACCAACATCTGGCAGACACAATATCTGCAGCAATTAAGAATAATTGTGAAACCATAATATACAAATCTATTCAAGTGCTGAGAGTGGAGCTCTGCACAGGCAGTTCTGTCTTCCTGCAGCTCAGAGGGAAAAAAAAAGCAGGGAATGACTGCAGAAGGATTTCACCAAGTCAGCAGCTGGGCCGGCCACACACAGCAGCATCTCCACTGTCACAACACACAGGGATGAGCTGGGATCTTCCAGGGATCTGCTTGGATACTTCCAGGGAGGTCTCCAGGTGGAAGGGGGGACACCTCACCTGAAGGAGCCGGGTCTGGGGTGTCCTGGCTCACCCCCTGACACATTCCTTGTGCCTTCAGCAGCACTTCAGCCTTGATCAGCAACAGGATTTAACTAAACAGGGGGGAAAATCCCATTTGTTCTCCCCTTCCCAGTTCAGCTCTCAGGTGGACCCTCCCCAGCACCTGCCAGTTGAGGTATTGAGGCCTCTCAGCTCCATAAAACCTGAACAAAGCTCTCAAAAAACATGTTACAGGGACAGGCAGTAACACAACAAAGGGCTGGGCTGGTTTCACACCCCAACTGCTCCTCAGATCCCACATTTTCCCTCTAAATAACCTGAACAGTAACCTCAAATCCCTCACAGGGTCACACACTTAAACCTGTTTATCCTCCTGTGGTTCCCCATGGACAGAGGGATACAGAGATCCAAGATTGCAACACTGCTCATATAAACCCCCCCCAGCTGTTCCACCTCACCTCAGAGGAGGTGAACCAGAACAGTTGATTATTATTTTTATTCTGTCTGGAAAAAAAACCATTTCACCTGCATGTTTCAAATTAAAAAATCCGACACTTTCCTCCATTTTCAGTCAACTGTCCCTGAAAGTATTTTTTTATTGAGCTGGTTTGACTGCAAAAGTGCAAATTTACAAAAAGATAATTTGATCTTTTCTTGTTAAAAGGGTAGTAATAGATAAAATGTTACAAAAGATCTGATAAACTATAAAATTATCTGATTTGGAATCAGATCTATGATGAAAAGCTCTTCTAAATACCAGCAGTTTGAACAAAAACTAAAGAAAATTAAGCTTCATTTTCCCTACAAAACTCTTCCAGTTGCTCATTCCCCCAGCTGAAATCATAACCCCCAGTGTAAAATCACAATCATTACTAAAAAATATGAGATTGTACAACATGTTAAGTAGAAAAAGATTCAAACTTATACACCATTTCAGTAAAATAACATCATCAGGGGGGGAAGAAAAAGCAGTTTTGGTCTGAAATAGGGCTCCTTAGAGGGAACATTTTACTTCAGGTACAAGCACAAGCCTGGGTAAAATATGATCTATGTGCTTGACTGACTGTGCACTCTACTATTGCCTAGACCTCAGAACTCCAGTTCCTTGTGTTAGGATGTCCAACAACAATTATTTTGGGAAATGGAACAAAGGAGTTGAATGTATTTTCCCCGAAAAAAGCCCAAAAATTGCACAGGCAGAATTTCATTGGAGAGAGCATCCTGAATGATCTTCCACTATTATTTAACAGCAGTAAAGCTGTTTTTCCTTTAAAAGAAAGGAAATAAAAGGAGTTATTTCTCCTTCAAATTCCATCACTGATTTTTTCAGTTCACAAGCGTGACATCCATGAGTTTGTCTTCAACAACAACAGACACATCACAGATGAGTCTTTGAAATTCAGTATTTCCTGGAGTAGCACTCCCTGCCATCACCTGCCTGGTGGTTTCCTGGTGGCCAAATATTTCAAACCAGAAACATTTGCTAGCCCTGACCTCCTTAATCAAGTGGTCTCCCCAGAAAGGGGGAAAAGCCTCCACTGCTTTAAGAAATCAGTGTAATTATCACTATCTGCTTAAGCACCCCTGGATGTGGGGTTGGTGGGTCCTTGGCCTGGTTGCTCCAAAAAGGCTGTGGGTTTTGCTTGTTCCTAAATTAAGCAATAAATAGTTACTTCTTGGTCACCCACCTGTGCTGAGAACTTGTGCACGCGCCCAACTCTCTGCAAGCCCCAACAGCCCCATCAGAAGATGGGCACAAAGCTTCTTTTCCACCTGGAGCTCAGTTCCCTAAATAAAACTTGAGCATCAAAGAGATCACAGCAAGATAAGGGAACCCCAAAGTGCGCATTTATACACAGGTAGAGACACACAAATGTGCCAGGGCAGAGAATCCCTGCCCTGCACAAACAAACCCAATCCCAATGTCTGCAGGGCTGCCGACAAACACTGCAACACCCCGTGAGCTCATGGAAATTCAATGGAATTGGTTAATCCACTCTGAGTGCCAGAAGGGAATTTAAACAGCACAGTATTGCTCCCTAAGTGTGCTCAAGGCCCCAGATGAAAGAGCCAATCCCCCAAAAAAAGACTGTGATGTCCATGTGGGACTGAAGCTCACAGAACAAGGGAATAATCATTCCAATTACAAAGTAATGAACATCCATAAAATACATCACTGATGTGATACGTGTTAATATGTGTTCACCACATTTTATTTTCAAGAGAAAAACCTGTTTCAGGGGCAGGAGGGTAGCAAGAATAAGATTTGGGGTTCCTCTCCACTCCACTGAGTTTATTTGGTTTGTGCAATCCCTGAGTGTGCAGGAACACAGACTGGGGTGAAAATTTGCTTTACACAAGCAAGTAAAAGCAGAAAAATCAACTATATATCAGTAGAAAGACTGAACCTGAAGCCCCAAAAGTTTCCTTTTCACCCAGAAGCAGAAATAAATCATGGAGCCATTAAAAAGAAGTATTCCCAACTTTTGGTGACACAGCCCACACGTATCTCCTTTAACCAAGCCACCATCCACTACAACTTCCTCTGGCGTCACAACTCCCATCTCCCTGGCACCAACCAGAAAAACAAAAACAACCCCTTGCCACGATGGCACCCACAAGCCCAGGCTGGAAAACAGAGGCCAACTGCTGCTTTCCATCCCCATCAGCAGCTCCAGCCATGGAGCAATCAGGGCACACAAGGAGATGCACTGAAAGGAGACAGCACTTTACAGGCCACAAATCACCACTAAACCTGCCTAGAGAATGTCTCTGAGCCGAGTTCTTTCAGCAGGGAGGTGTGTTACAAAAGCTGCCGTGACCCGAGGTGTGCAGGAGCTCACTGCAGTCTGTCACCCCGGACAGAAGGAACCCAGCCGCGCTCCACAGCCCAGGAGCCGGGAATGCCGGCTTCCTCCAGGGAAGGAACAACAGATTCAGTGTGTTCTGCAGGAAAAAAACACGGCTAAGAGAGGAGGAAATGCATTTTAAGGCTAAATATGCCCAAACTCGGCCCCAAAGGGCCTGCTCATCAGACACTGCAGGAATCTCCCTGCAGAACCGCAGCTAGTTTTTTTTTCCCTCTGGCCTCCATCTCTGCCACGGCTAAAATCCAGCAATCCAAAGGAACCTTATCCATCACCGAGGGTGAGGGAAAACACCATCACAACCCAAGGGCTGCCCACAGGCCAAGAGGGACCTCCAGGGCTTACAAAGACTTTTGTTTTGGTTAATTCCGAGGCACATCTTGGGAGTGCAAACCCTCCCCTGCAGTATTTGCAACCCAAATATTGCAGCACTGAGCTAATTTCGGGGAGCTGGCACAAAAAAAAAATTGACTACTGGAGTAATCGGACCAGAAAATGACACTGAGCTAAATTTAGGAGTAACTATGCAATGCAATATTAATAAGAGATTATTTCCTTTCTCCAATTTTTTTTTTAAGTTAAGCTGGCAATGCTCCTTTTAAAACCAAGGCTCTCCATCCCCCCCAGGGATGGATCCTACAGTTTCCTGGGTGCCAACATGAGGCTCAACCCCAGTCAGGCTCTCCATCCTCCCAGGGACGGATCCTACGGTTTTTTGGGTGCCAACATGAGGCTCGACCCCCACTGAGGACAAGCCTCTCTCGGGAGGGAGGGAGGGAGCCCTGGGGAGGGGGGAGCGCTGTCCCCACGTCCCCAAGGCTCCCCCCAAACGCTCCCAGAGAAGGATGCCCCGTTTCCCCGCAGTGCAGGCACGGATATCCCGCATCGCTCCCCCTCCTCTCCCCATCGCTCACTTTCTCTTGTACTCGTCGCGCTCCCGCTTGACTTTGGCCAGCACGTTGTAGAGGGCGCGGATCTCGGGGGTGATGGTGTCGATCTGCACCCCGACCCCGTCCGGGTGGATCCAGGACACGCCGGGGCCCTGCACGGTCTCCAAGCCGCCGCCCCCGGTGCGGCGGACCTGGGTGTAGCTCCAGATGGTGCCGGGCAGGCGCCCGTAGTGCGGCGGCGAGGGCAGCGCGCCGTGCCCGGGGCCCGGCGGCGGCAGCAGCGGGGGGGTCCCGCCGTCCGTCTGCACCGCCTGGTCCCGGGAGAAGGTCTTGTAGCGCAGCCGCCGGTCGCGCTCGCTCTGCTGGGCCGCCAGCTGCTTCTCCAGCAGCCGGTTGCGCCGCTCCAGCTCGTGCACCTTGGCCAGGAAGCAGCGGAACCGCACGTTCAGCCCCTTCAGCAGGTGGATGTTGGAGCCCAGGTCGTTCCGCAGCGCGGCCGTGACCGGGGGGCCCCCGCCGGCCGCCGCGGGGCCGCCGCCGCCGGGGCCCAGCGGGCAGGAGGACGAGGAAGAGGCGGCGGCGGCGGGGGAGAAGGCGCGGGCCATCTCCCCGAACAGCAGCGAGTTCATGGCGGAGGGAGCGGTGGCGGAGGGGATGGAGAAGGCGGCGATGAAGAAGGAGGCGATGGAGGCGACGAGGGAGGCGCTGCCGGTGCCTCCCTTCGCTGCCGCCGCCGCTGCCCGGGCTCTGAGCGGACACCGGCGCGGCCCCGCCCCCCCCGCGCCGGGGCCGCGCCCCGCCCGCGGCCCCTCTGATTTGCATAACCACGCCTACATTTCCGTATCGGTCTCCTATTTCCATGGCCACGCCCCGTCAGTCCATACAGGACGGCGTTATTTGCATAACCCCGCCCCCTCGGTAGGCCCCGCCCCCCGCGGTGCCGCAGCCGCGCGCGGGTCCCTCCACGTGTCCCCAGGGCGGGGGTGGGGGGCGCTGGTTTTTGGGGGTAATCGGGTCCAACGCGCTCCACAGCCCTCGGTGTGCTCCCGGATCAATTGGCAAATGTGCAATAAATGGGATAAAGGCCCCTGGCCTTGCATCCCTGCTTTTGGCTCTCTGGGAAACCACCTTATTATTAATCCCTTACTAACCCCCGATGGAAACTGGCTGGGAAAGTTGAGGCTGTTCAGCCTGGGGAAGGGAAGGTTGTGTGGGGACCTCACAGCACCTTCCAGTGTCTGCAGAGGCCACAGGAAAGCCACAGAGGGACCCATTGTCAGGAACTGGAGTGGCAGGACAAGGGGTAATGGGTACAAATAGAAAGAGGGGAAACTTAGGTTGGATATTAGGAAGAAATTCTTCCCTGTGAGGGTGGTGAGGCCCTGGCACAGGCTGCCCTGAGAAGCTGTGGCTGCCCCATCCCTGGAAGTGTCCAAGGCCGGGTTAGATAAGACCTTGAGCAACCTGGGCTAGTGGAAGGTGTCCCTGCCTATGGCAGGGGGAGTGGCAATAGATGATCTTTAAGGTCCTTTCCAACCCCATAACATTCTATGGTTCTACAATTAGTTCAGATCAGATTAAATTATAAGGGTGAATTTTGTTATCCCAAAGCAGAGCCCTTCCTAAGTGCTAAATAACAATGCTGCTACTGTAATAATTGAGTTATTGAACGAGTGTTTCCCAACTGCTGCTCCTGGACCTCTGGCCCACTGGGCAATCAAAGGATATTGTTTAATTGAATGATGTGATTCCTCCACTGTGCTGCCATGCATGGAATGATGCAAGTGAGGTCCACGGAAAGCTCTCAGTAACACTGCTGTAAAGATGTAGTAATAATAATTCAATCCATTTTTGAAATAAAAACATGGGGTTTGCCAGGCAATATTTATATTTGACTCCACAGACAGCAGCACCCACTTGCTGAAACACCATCAGCACCCCCAGCCAGGCTCAGCACCGAAACCAAAGGCTCTTCAAAGGGCTCTGTTAATGTGTTACAGACCTGTGTTTTCCCAGCAGCACCTCCTGGAAAAAAAAATAAATGTGCTGGGTGGAGGTGCTTTATTAAAAGGGTGACTCAAAGAAACACCTGAAAGATTATCTCTCCCTGAGCACAAACCACTTCAGCCTCAGCTTGTGGTGACTGGAACTTGTGTTCAGTGCTGAGGAAAAGCTCTTGATGCCTGGGTTGTGAGGGCAGGGCTGTGGGTGCTGATCGTGGGTGTCATCAGTGCATCAAATAGAGCCAGTTTTAAATAAAAAACCTTGCAGCTCAATGGGAAATGTTTCCGTGACTTGTACCACCCTGCAGATCCACAGAAATCCTTGGAAAATGCGAGAATTGACTAAACCTGCCAATACGAGGGGTCTCATTGGGGCAGCAGCCAACCAAGAGCAGGTTTCTGCCAGATCTGGGTCATTTCCAGGCCAGGTTGGATGGGGCTTAGAGTAACCTGGTTTAGTGGAAGGTTCCACCTGTGGCAGGGGATGGAACAAGATGGGGTTTAAGGTCCCTTCCAACACAAACCATCCTGAGATTTCATGGATTTCCCTGTTTTCAGACACCTGGCATCTTCCCTAGCAGGTGGTGCTAGAAGGAGCTGGGTGATTTCAGTCAACAGGTAGGAAAATCCTGTTGAACAACAAGAGATTTTTTTTTCCCTTAAGGAAGCAGGAAAACATCAGAGGGAATGATAAAGCAGCTGATGAAGGCTTTTGTACCTTTCTGGTGAGATGATGCTTCCCGTGATCCCTCCTTGCCCATCACCAGGTGGTGAGGATGGATCTACCAACACCCCATCCAAAGGTTGTTAAATCAATGAGTCTTTTCCTGATGGGATTTGGCTCATCTCTGAGATGCCCACGGTCACCACCAGCATCTCCTGCTCCACCACCAGGGTGAGGTTCCATCCCAGCCCCTGAAAGTGAATCATCCTGAATTAATCACAGCAATTAATTGAACTCAGGCTGGGAGAAATGGAAGTCCCTGTTCCACGAGGGCTCAGGCAGTCCTGGATCTGACCTGCTACCACCAACCCCATGCCAAGCAGCCACTGTCCATGGGATACCCTGTGGCAGTTGGGGACATTCCTGTAGGGATTCCTCCAGTTCCTGCCACGGAAAGCTCTTCACTGCCTGCCAATTGCAGATATAAATAATTAAGCACTGATTAGCCCCTTCCTACTTGGACAGGGAGGAAAAGGGATGGGAAAGGGGGCTATTTCTGAATGCAGGAACTATCCAGCAATTAAATAAGTGACCACCCCAGTGATGCTGATAATAATAACATACTGGGTGTATTTTTGCTTGCAGTTGCTCTACCCAAACATGGGCTGGAGCAGGGCTTGAGGAATCTGGATCCTTGGATTTGATTTTACACTCATTTTACCTTTGCTTTGGCAGCATCCTTCACTCCCAACTCTCAGCAACCATTTCAGGGCTGCTCTCTGCATCTGCTTAAGGTTTTTTAATACTAATTTTCCTGGGTTTGGTTATATCCATTGACACTTTTTAAGCCCGGCAGTCATGGAAAATTCTTGTTTCCTTAGTAAAGTAACCATTTTTCAGTCAAGCCAAGCCAAACCAAACCAAACCCAGCAGCCTCCCCAGCACCCCCACACTGTGCTGAGTGGCAGCGAGGAGATGATGCTCCTGGGCCAACGTGCATCACCACAGAGTTAAGTTTTGTGTGTTTGAATAAACCTTCCTCTAAAACAAACAAGGAAAAATCCTTTGGCTTAACATCCATGAAACTCCCCAGTCCTCGAGAATGACCCACTCAATCACCTCATGGAGTCCTGCTCGGTTCTGATTTTCTCACACCCCTCCCTCATCCCTTGGACTGCAGCAACTGCCCAAGCCAGCACCTCACTGACCTCAGAGATGGAAAAGGGAGATTTATCCACCCTGGGCTCAGCAGGAACAAGAAGCAGCTTCTTCCTGAGGCTGCCATGTAACAACCTCCAGTGGTGAAACTGGGACTCGTGTCGCACGCCCGGGGCTCTCCCTCCACCACATCCTGCCTGCCCGAGTAAGAGTGTTTGAGCAAACCAGGCTGCTGAAACAAGCAGTATTTTTAACAGTTCCACCCCCAAAATGGTTGGTTTGTAACCCAGCCCCTAGGATGGTGCACAGGCACCAGTGAGATGATGGCATTGGCAGCTCAGCACCAAGTCCTGTCACATCCCAGCTGCATTTTTGGCCAGCAAAGCATTTCCAACTCCACCAGCCCCTTTTCCCCACACACTCCTATGCTTGCACCAGCATCAGGGCTTTTCCTCGAGCACTGGGAGCAGAAACCATCCCTGGCAGCCTGTGCCCTGCGCAGGAGCACGGGAAGAGGGGCAGGAATTCGGTGGCTGCCCCAGCGACGCCTCGCGTGATTCAGACCCTGCCTCAGCACCAGGACACAAAGGCTGTGCCCATCTCCAGGTGTCACTCGCTGGGGAAAGGGCTGGGTTAGTCACCACGGTGGTTGTTCCCAACCCTGTAAGGGAAGCCTTTGGATCCTGCCGAGAATTGCATTGGTCACAGTGTAACGTTGTGAAAACAGAAAGTATTTGGCAGGTTGGCTGCCGTCAATAATGTGGGAGGGATGAGTTACATCACAGCTACAAACTCAGCAGGTTTCCTCCCTGCAGGTTCCTTATTGCCTTTAAAGGAGGTTTCTCCTCCTAAAATGGTGGTTTGGCCCCCAGTATATTTTCTATTAGTTCTACCAGCTCATGGCAAAAGAGGAGCTGCAGCTTAAACCCAGCACCTTCTCCCAACTGCAGGTTTATTCATTTGCTTCAGTCACAAAAACATTGTTTGGCCACATTTGGGGTTTTATGGGCATTGGGGGTTTTATGGGCATCAGCACCACAAAGTAGAATTCAGTCACAGAGAGAAATGCTGCTCATGCATGGGCAAAGAGCTCCATGTGCCCTCAGCCCACGAGCAGAGAATTTGGAATGGTCCCAGGCTGGCTTATTTTCAGCACCTCCCTCTCACCTGGACTGGGGCTGATCTTCTCCATGGAGAGGTGTAAATATTTTGGAAAGACAAGCTTCTGCAACAGGTGCAACCCCAAAAGGTGGGTGAACTGAGGAGGCAGAGATGCAGCAAGAGATTAAGGTGCCCAGCGAGTGGAGCATCTGCAGGCAGAGCGGCTGAGACGCCGCCGCCGGAGCATTTCCTTGGAGACTGTGGCGACTCATTGCTTCCCTAGTAACCAAACATTTGCATCTGTATTGAGCAGAGCAGCAAATATGCCTCTCTGAGCCTGTACAGGTCGCTGCAGGTGTGTCTTAGGAGGCAGGGATCGCTCTGGCAGCTCATCCAGGATAATTGCAGGATGCTGCATCGCTGATCTGGGCATGCCCAAGTGCAGTTTCAATCCCCCAATTGTTCAGCGAGCAGGTGAACCCTGACCCGATTGATTTAAATGCAGAACAACTTTTAAATTAATAGAATAGATGATTTCTTTCTTGTTCTTCCCCTAGATTTGCAGCCTGTGCTGGGTTGAGCAGCATCCAAAGCTCAGAGCACTGAAGAGGGGTAAGTTGAATTGGGATTTACTGTTAGCTCCCTATCTAAATCTCTCTTCCAGAAGCCATTAGCTAATTATTTTCCTTGCTTGCACTGTGGGGTTTTCAGCCTGACAGGTTTTGCACGGCACAATGAAGAAGAGCTTCCCTGTGGGAGCTGGTGATGGGAGCACTGGGTGTGGCTGGAGTGGGCACCTGCTGGGTTTCCTCCTGGCATCCCACTCCTTGGA